ACGATTTCTTGTGTTTAAAAGGGAACGAGAAAAGTTTTGCCACGAAATTTACATTCCTTGGTGATGTTTTCGTGGCTGAATCACTTCTGGGGACTGGTGAAAGGATAGGTGAAAGGGAGGGGTGGCAAACGAGGGAATCGCTGTCCTACGGGGAATAAGACGATTCACGGAACACACAAAGAGAAGCCCAAGTAACTTTCGTAGGACTAAAAGGTAGCAGCTCTCTCCAAACTCATGGACCAGAGGGCCAGAAACAGATGAGAGGAAGAGAGACAATTACGTAGAAAGGGGAAATGGGAGGGTGATGAAACGAGAGCAGAGATCCTTTGATCGCGTGACTGTCGCGCTGTCGGCAAACATCGACTGCAACCCGCTGCAAAACCCAGCCACCGTGCTTTAATACCTCATGCAAATTTTCGGGGGAAAAGGCCACGCTCACCTTCCCGATTTCCGACCTCTGCAATACCGCCCACTGGGGTTTATATTGCTTTTTGGAACAAATCGCTATCCGATTCGTATATCCTGCCTGACGCTTCCTAATATCCGACCAATTTTCAAATTGATTTGGGAATGGACTTTGGATTGATCAGTTATAACACTTACAAATTAGGTCCTTGGCAATTATCGAATATTTACCTGGATAATTCTCCAGCACAGGGCATTCGATGCATTATTTTGACAATCGGTTTCTGGCCAATCAGAGCACAGTACTGAATGACAGGAAGTACATTCAAATGTGTAAGAAATTGGGAATTGCGTCCATTCCAATTTGAATTAATAGAATTACCTCATTCCACATTATTTTGTTAGCCTTCACGGCATACAAATGCTAATTATTGATAATTTTACCAATTGTCTCCATATGAAAAACAAAAAATTTTCTAGTCGAGTGAATCTCTCATGGAAACTGACATGGATTTTGTATCATTAGGCAACTCTCTTGGCCGAAATTTAGGGGGAAAATTTCCTCCCTCCACGGTTCGCCCAATCAGAGCGCAGTATTCGAGCTCACTGACACCTTCATATCAGTTTTATTTTCATAATTCCCCAGGCTACGGGTGAATGATCAAACTTATAATTGCACAATAGCCTTTCGAGTGTTTACCCCTCTTTGGCAGATATTCTCCACGTTTTGGTGAAAAGTGTTACGTAATCTCGAACACCGCACTCTGTTCGGTAAAAATCAGAATTGAGGAAAATATCCTCCGAATATCCTTCGATGTTCAAAATTTATCGGATATTTCCCTCAAGCTTCCCTGCAAAAAATGGATGTGTCAAGTTTTGCAGAAAAATCCTTCATGCTGCGCACTGGGGATTCTTAGCCTGCAAATCTTGACACCTTCATTTGTTTACAATGAAGCTTTCGGGAAGTATCCGATAATTTCGAAGGTCTCGGAGTATTACGATACACGGAGAGAAATTTTCTAGAAAAATCCTAGTACGAGTAGTGGAAAAAATCACAATCCACCGGCTGTGAAAAATTCTAGTGCTGTTACCCGAGTCGAATATTACGACCTGAATTCCCCCTTGAACACCTATCATGAGTAGGAGGACCAGGATGATGTTAGGGTGTATTTACATTCAGAAAAACCCCCTGGTTTCCGCCTGAACGTGTGAGTTATTTCCAAATTCCGAGGGTTCAGAAGGAAAACAGGAGGTGTGTTAAACCTATTTATCGCCTGCACCCCCTAAAATGTTTTCCACTCCATGACCTCCTCCATTCTCTCTTCCTGGACAAAATCTGCAAACCCTTTCGAGGTATTTTTTATATATTTTTAATTATTAACATGAGAAGTACGGGTGAAAATTAAGGTCATACTCAAGGGTCATATATAAGGGTCAAAAATAACGGTCAGAAACAACAGTCAAAAATAAGGGTGGGAATTTCAGTAATTTTCATCGCAAACAGAAATGAACAAAATAGTGAGCTACTCAATCATCCTGGCTATCAGGGTTAATTCAGGGGATTTATGATTCCTTTTCATTCGACAGGAGGAGAAGGGGGAAAAAAGTATCAGTTGAGAAGGGTTTTTACGCCTTTAGGATGAGGCAGGATCATATAAGGAGTTATTCAGGATGTATAGGATGAAGAAAGAAGGAAAAAATATCTCAAGGAGGTAATAGGGGAGAATAAGGTCCAGATATTCGACTCGAGGAGGTAACAGGGGGGAATAAGGTCCAGATATTCGACTCAGGTAAGCTAAAGTTTCTTGGTATTTCTGGTAAAATTTCTGGGGATTTCTGTGAAATTTTCACAGAAATACGGGGAAAAATTCACGTTTTCCCCAATAAAATTTCTAGTGCCGGCACTGGAATTTTTTCCTGGCCTTCACTTTGCGTCTCTTTTCCCGTGCTAGCACTAGAATTTTTCTAAGAAATTTCTTTTCGTGTAATTCACCAGGCTACTAGTGAATTATCCAAATAATAATTCCGCATTTGCCTATTAATTGTTCTCTCTCGCGTGATTTTTCGTCGGCGTGATTGTTTCATCTGAAAAACTCGTTTGTGTGCAACAAACCTATCGTGACATACCCAATAATATGAAGCAGTGATAAAATGATTCATTTATCCCAAACGACATTCGTCAACTATTAACGAATGATAGAGTTGAATATAACAGAATAAATATTCTTTAACAGTTAACGAATGGTTCACTTGAAAGGTAAAAGTGGAGTCCAACAAGGCTCCTCTAATATGCATTTGTTAACTATTAATGAATGAACATTTGGTAAGACCGAATAGACCCTAGCCTCCAACTAAAGCCATTCGTTAATAATAACTAATCCTTTCTATCAATGTGTGATAATTCCACTCCAACTATTGATGATATTTCTCTAACTTTACAATCGATTTTTTTTTGCCAATTAATTGTCAAATATTGTCATATACAGTAAACGCAACATAATTAGTTCGTTTTTGGACTGATTAAAACGCCAAAAATATTTCGTCGAACACCACTCAACCTTCAGGTAGACATGATCAGATGACGCCTGATGAGAACCTGACCAAGTTTCGATCCAGTAGATCGGATCCGAAAAACTGCAGGATGATTCAGATCAAGTTCTGATCAGGTAGGCACAATCTCACCCTGAGGTCGGCTGCCTGACCCCAATTTGATCAATGTCTTTGATCGGCATTTGAACGGGGTCAATTGAAGAGAAAATGATCAGATTCAGATCCGGTCCACCTGACATTAATTTTAATAAGTTTTTCGGATAATTTAATTAACTATTATTATACTATTCAAATTAAGTTTTATCAACCATTATCAATAATTATTTTCAATCTTTAAAAAGGATCATTATACTATAATTAAAATAAATTAAATTAATTTAATTTAATGAATTTAATTTAATTATTCAATTTAAGTAACAGCCAGCCCTTTTCAAATTTACAGAAGAGAGAGAGATGATGCTGCCGTAAATACGTATTAGAGGAATATCAAACTTACACGCAAATGATCTTGAGAAAAAAAATCACCGAATGTCTATTTATTTATTAGTGTTATTGTTATTATCATTATTATTATTCATTAATAAAATAAATAAAAATTTAATTGAGCATATTTTATCTCTGAGAATACACACGCACATCCGCGAGATCAGGAATGATCGTAAATTCAACGAATACCCCGATACAAATCATATAGGCAATGTACAGTTTACTCGATAGTAATAGCGCGATATATAGCGTAGTAGTTAGGGCATAGGATTAGCAATCATAGGGTCCCCGGTTCGATCCCCAGCATCGGTAAAAAAATAATAGGCTTTTTCAGAGGTAATAAACAGTAGAGATTCATTAGAAGAGGCGGCCTACGGTGAAAGAATTGAATTATCTTTTGTTTTGGATCAATTATCATTGATAATTTTTATTGATACTGACAGACAGCTCATCCGGTTTTCATACAGTTGACTTGACCAAGTTCAGATCCATTCGTCCTGATCAAATCCGGATTGGTCAGAGGCGTAACATGTCTGATCAAGACCGGATCCGTCAACTTGATCAATACCTGATCAGTGGTAAGGTCTAACCTGATCCAAACTTGATCAAGTCCTGACCGGAATTTCCACTCGGGTAGTCTGGTGAGTACACGGAGAAGAGTTAAATAAAAGTTACTAGAAAATCGTGGCAAATTTCACTATACGGAAGATAATCGTATAGCAAAATTGTAGTTCAATAAAAAAAACTTTTTGCGAAGGATATCTTAATATTCGTTAGATAAAAAAAACATCTAAAAAACACATCAATGAATTTTCCCAAACTGTAGGGTATTTTTTTTCTGGCTTGGATGTGAAGGACATAGATACGGACGAAGCAAAATTTTACCATATCGCGTTTGGTAAAAAATATAATTTTCTTTCACAGAAATAGTACATTTCAAGCCTAGCCGTGGAAAACAGATCAATCCGCCCCCACGCACAAGATTGACATCCGAGCCCAAGGCGAGGATGACAAGTACGTGGGTGAGGATGATATGTTTTCCACGGCGTGGCTTGAACAACATTTTTCCAGGCGCAGGGCCTGGAAAACGCAAATTTGAAAATGACCTTTTTTAGGCGCCAGTCTAGAAAAATTCCTTCACATATAGGAATGATTACACAATATTGAGCAATCATTCACATTAATGGGATAATTTTGTATAAATGGGAAATTTTACAGTCTCGGCACGAATTACCCTCACGCTTAGTGAATTTTTTTAAGTGAGTGGAAAATAATTCACTATTTTTTCGAATTTTTACCCCAATATAAAGTTTTTCTCCGTGTAGTTGGATAGGTGTCCGCTTAGCGCTACCTCTTCGTGTGCAAAAACTGCTGTTAGAGAATCTAGAGACCTACTGCTGGACCCATCTAGACAGAGTTACAGATAAACAAAATAGGATCCTGCAATATATGAAGAGATGAGTATTAGGACAGGTATAAAGGCTGATGAAGCGGGACACCTATAAAACCGCAACGATCGTAGGGAGGAAACGTAAATTAAAGAATTATTGAACAACTAATTGATGTAATACTATCGAATTACGTGATTTATTTATTCTCACCATTGACTTTCACATCCATAAATATTGATAGGATGACAATTTAATGCTACAGGGATTTCACTTAGCTGCATTCACACGTATTACCACTGCATTTACCCTCAAGGTCCGCCAAATAATCGCAATAGTCGTCACAGAATTTAGGGCAATTGGGAATCGGGAAAACTGGCTCAGTAATATTGACTGTAATTATTGAATAAATGAATAGATTAGTCAAATTAGTTGGAAATAATTCTAATTAATTTTAATACTCACGTTTCTCCATTACATCCTCAAGTTTTCCACTGATTACTGATTGACTCATACTGATTAAAAATAAAAATAATATCGGATTTAGGAATTTCATCATTAAAATCAAGCAAATTGTCGCACGATTCACTGAGTGGCTCCAGAACATAAATATTGATAGAATCAAATTAGAGAAATGATTAATCAGTCACATTGATTGAATTGATTACATAAATCCATCTGTTTTTGACGTACTGCGATGAGTTGTAAATAGCTACAAGCCACCAGGGGCACACTATCCTCGGCTTATCGCTCCACAAGCAAACTTGACCGCAATCGAGTGCAATAGTTGAAAATGCACAATAGCATCGACGATAAGGGTTATGACGAGGTAATAATTGTTATACACAGCATTTGAATATTTTTTTAATGAACATTTTTTGTGGACAGCTCACGGAAATTACGGAAATCAGACAGGGAAAGCTGTATAAATATTGATCCAACGGGTTCAACCACTGATTAAGGATGATTGATAAGGCAAATCAATTGCCGAAGTGTTTACTTGATTGAAGTTTTCTTTTTTTTCTTTTCAGGCCAAAGTGAATTGTAGCTTTCAGATTTCGAACTCTAGTGAATTTTCGTTGCCGTTGATGTCCATATCATACCGCAATTCTTATATTAAGCTATATAAGTTCTATAATTTAAAGGCGACACTTAATGGACTGAATCAGTTCCATCTTCCAATTCAATCATCTCATCCCTGACAGCCTTGATAATGTTCATATCGATATTTTATTATTTATCTCTTATAAAATAACCAGCATCCTCGTTGTACACAAAGAGACGACGTTTCTAGTTTCCAAATAAGTAAAAAAAATTATTCCTTTTTTTTTATCAGAGAAAAGACTTCGATAATGTCAATCACTCAAAACTAGTATAATTGTACTGAAATTAAGAAATATGCTGTCTTATTTTAAGAAAATTGGGAATTCAGAACGTTTGAATTCCAAAAATAATAACCTTATAGTTCTTAAATGAAAAAAAAAACACCCCACCGTTTGGGAAATTTTACTGTACAGGGACGAGTAATTTTTGAAAAAATACCTGTTTGCGGCCAATATTATACGATTCATTTGGTAAGAAAGACACATCTATGGATGCAAAAATTATTCTCCTGCACAGTAAAATTTCCCATACCCCAATAGAGTTTTTTTTTTCTTGCCAGAATCCGAGAGTCGGGGGGACAAATGGAAATAAAATTTTACCGAACGCGTTCGATAAGAAATCATTCTCCGTTACAGAAAAATGATACGCAATATTGAACAGTTCACGATCACTAGGATAATTTTTGATGGAATGCAGAGTAAGTTTTACACAAATTACCCTCATGTTCAGTCAAATTTCCCGGACCAAACGAGAAAAATTCACTATTCGTCCCGCGCTTTTTCCCCGATATAGGGTGAAAAAATACTGAAAATCGAGTTCACTCTACGATTACTTGACATGTTCGGTAATGTTTCTCCTACTTTTTTCTCCGTGTAGGAATTTACGATCATGTTAATGACAACATAGAAAAGTGTCATATAAACGATTCTTTGTTGAAAATTTCATCAATTTCCGCTTGAAATTGCAGAAGTAATTCTCCAACAATGTATTGCTTAGCTATTGAGCTACTGAATTCGAAAGCTGCCCAGCATATGTATTACACAGGAAAACAAAGATTTATATCATTCTTCCCACGACACTTTGATGTGAATTCCTCATGCCTTTTAGAAGTGTTCTCTTTCCACAGAAGTCCGCAACACCAGGGGTCCATATTTTTTGTACCATTACCTCCCTGATATCTCCCCACTCATGAAGAAGGCGATTAACCCACTACGGACACTATGCCAATCCAATAAAGAATTAATATATTCTCCCTGATTCAAGAACACAATCAAATTAACTAAAAAACATCAACTTGCGTAAAGAGGGCTCCCCTATCTGTGTGATATCGACATGACCGCTGTAATCTTTCCCATCTCAGAACCCACGTGCTTATACATACCTTTTGCATATTCCCGTGCCATTGCCATCGGCACCCTTTCTGGTACCCACAACAAAGATAAAAAAAATAACTTCGACTGCTGTTTGGTATCTGAAAGGACACAAGCATAGGTTACATCTCAGACTGCCCCGTGCCAGCTTTACATTGTCTTACGCTTGTTCACCTTTTCTGCCCCCTTTTCCGACGGTTTAAGGCCCCTAGCCGCCCACGCGATATACATACAATACAATACAATGCCCCAGATCAAGCCAGCGATGTGTCGGTATGGTTTGCTCTTTCTTTGGTACATGTAACTTTACATTATTTCGGGGGCCTAAAGAGATTCGGGAGCTGATGCCATCGAATTTATCGCTATCTCAAGGAATGTGAAAAGAAAAAATCATTCTATTTTCAATAATCGTTTCTTTTTATTCCTCCCGATCAAATATTAATCCTCTGGAGGCAATGCACTGTACCGCTCAGCAGCCAATACCGCTCACCTGATTTTCTCCACAATCACTTACTTTTTCCACACTGTTTCGTACTCAATCTGAGAACTCTATCAGTATGTAATTCTCATAAAATTTTTCGATTTTTCACCCCTTTAAATAACAAATATAGCATTCCAGGATTTTCAGAACTTTACGATGTAATTTTTCTGTATCACTACGTAAAGTTTTTCACTATGATAATAGCATTATCGCCAGATAAAATTATGATCAATCGCTATATAATTCCTTTTCACATCATTTGACACCGAAATCTCCTTTTTTTCATCTTTTAATTAATAATTAGAAAATGTTTTCTCAAATGCGGACGATGTCGCCAATACCGCTCAGCTAGTGTGGCTAATATCGCTCGGTTTGAGGCCAATACCACTGAGTGCCTGACAGCTCATGTACGCAATTTTTATGGTCAGAAAAAATCCCGCAAGTATAACAGGATTAGTGACTCCTCTTATGAAAATCAATTTTCAGAGATACATTCATATTATGAAAAAAGAATTTAAGAATAAGAATGGCTGTGACACTTTATTAGCGTTTTTCTTGGCGCGATTTTTTTCCAACTTGTCTGGGTGTGTTTCTTCGAAACGAATTTATTTGTTTCGGATTTTGACGTGTTTCTTAAGGACTGAAATAACCTCTAACCCCTCACTGCCCCCCCCCCCTCCAGCTTGCCTGATAGGGTTAAATTATTTTATTGAAATTTCAATTCCCAAGAAACACGTCGAAATTGAAAACAATGAAAGTCGTTTCAAAGAACCACACTCGGATAAGTTAGAAAAAAAACATGTCAAGAAAAGCTCTATATATAAGCCGTCAATACAGAGGGTAGATGACTCGTTCGGATGGTTGCAACGAATAAATATCCAAATGTATACTTGTTCTAAAAGAGAATAAAATGCTTAAACGAAATAGAGCCGTTACATTTTATAATTATTCCATCAAAAACATGGAATAATGGTTGAAGTACCATCCTCACATTTACACAATACCAGTTTGTTCTTATGCGTTTAAATTTATTAGATAAAATCTGAATTCCATTCATGTCTTTGAATTATCTAGCATCGGAAATTTTTTTCTTTTGACAGCCATTGACTAGAGGTTAACTATCCTGAGGGATATAGGAATCAGACTGAGCGGTATTACCCGAGTGGAAATTGCTTCAGGCCCACCTGAAACACGATCAGAACTTGATTAGGTTTTTGTAAGGTTCGACTGATCCGGTGATTCCTGATGAGAACCTGACCAAGTTCTGATCCAGCAGATCGGATCCGAAAAATTACAGGCGGGTTCAGATCAAGTTCTGATCGGGTAGACATGATCAGATAATGCCTGATGAGAACCTGACCATGTTCTGATCCAGCAGATCGGATCCGAAAAATTACAGGCGGGTTCAGATCAAGTTCTGATCGGGTAGATGTGATCAGATGATGCCTGATGAGAACCTGACCAAGTTTTGATCCACTGAATCAATCCGAAACACTGCAGGATGATTCAGATCAAGTTCTGATCAGGTAGGCACGATCTCACCCTGAGGTCGGCTGCCTGACTCCAATTTGATCAAATTCGGATTTGATGTCTTTGATCGGCATTTGAACGGGGTCAATTGAAGGGAAAATGATCAAATTCAGATCCGGTCCACCTGACATTAATTTTAATAAGTTTTTCGGATAATTTAATTAACTATTATTATACTATTCAAATTAAGTTTTATCAACCATTATCAATAATTATTTTCAATCTTTAAAAAGAATCATTATACTATAATTAAAATAAATTAAATTAAATTAATTTGATTTAATGAATTTAATTCAATTAATCAATTTAATTAACAGCCAGCCCTTCTCAAATGTACAGAAGGGAGGGATGATGATGCCGTAAATACGTATTAGAGGAGTATCAAACTTACACGCGAAGGATCTTGAAAAAAAAAATCACCAAATGTCTATTTATTTATTACAGTTATTGTTATTATCATTATTAGTATTATTCATTAATGAAATAAATAAAAATTTAATTGAACATATTTTATCTCTGAGAATACACACGCATATCCGCGAGATCAGGAATAATCGTAAATTCAACGAATACCCCGATACAAATCATATAGGCAATGTACAGTTTACTCAATAGTAATAGCGCGATAGCGTAGTGGTTAGGGCATAGGATTAACAATCATAGGGTCCCCTGTTCGATCCCCAGCATCAGTAAAAAAATAATAAGCTTTTTCAGAGGTAATAACAGTAGCGATTCATTAAGAGAGGCGGCCTACGGTGAAAGATTTGAATTATCTTTTGTTTTGAATTAATTATCATTGATAATTGTTATTAATACTGACAAACAAGTCATCCGGTTTTCATACAGCTGACTTGATCAAGTTCGGATCCATTATATGTCTGTAATCCGTAATATGTCTGATCACGACCGGATCCGTTAACTTGGTCAATACTTGATCAGTGGTCAGGTCTAACCCGATCCAAACTTGATTAAGACCTGACTGGAATTTCCACTTGGGTAGCTACATGCGGCCAGTACCGCTCACTCAGCTCTTATCTTCATTTTTTGATAATTTATCGGAATTGAAACAAAATCGAGGATCCAAGACTTCCAAATATGTAGCTGAATGGTCAAGGAATGCTATGCGACTATAATTTTTCTTTGAAATCATGGTTTGGGATAAAAAAATGATCGTTATTCCATTGTTGAGCGGTGCAGGCACCACTTCCCATACGAATATCGCATCAATAACTATCAACATCAGACGGAGGAAAATCTTT